GATGGCACGTCACGTGATCCCAGGCCCCGCCTTGGATCAGCGACCTTCCATCGCGGCTATCCCGATGGTCTTCCTTCCTGCGGCCTGCATAACAAAAGGAAGCAACTCCTTGTTACCTTGTAACACTGCCATACAGAAGACACCGGACTTCGAAAACATGAACGAGTGGTGGAAACACGAAGAGAGCTATCTCGTGCACCGGTATGACCCTGTGTCAGAGTCCTGGGAAGCCAAGACGGAAGTCCTTGCACAGCGGCACGACGCAACCCCACCGTGCGGCTTACGGTAGAAAGCGTGGGTCAGGGGATTCAGGACAAACGGCCAAAGTGTATGCGCAGCTGGAGGTATTGAAGAAACATGGTAGATTCTACGTAGAGATCCTCACTGCAACCAAAAAGAAAGATACTCTTCAAGACTGACTGTTGCCGGACGACCACTGCGAATCTTTGCGTTCTGAGACCAAATCTTTCTGGCTCTCGCTGTCACTGATCCGCGAGCTCTGCTCAAAATGCTGTTCGAATTGTCGCGAGACATAAATGTTTTTCCCAAACATGCCCCCTCCATCGGCACCTGTCTCGTAAGGTGTCGTGCTACCTGGCCGGCCCAGTGCCAGTTCAAAGTCTTCGTCAGTATGTCTTGCAGTGCTCCTGATACCATGAACGCTCCGATGTTTGGTGGCACTGCTGCCAATGGTGCCAGTTCCGTATCCATTTCCGTATGATCGGCCGGAGGGGACGGTGGACGAGAAGCCGGGGATGATCTTGACAACCAGTGGCTTGAGCGCAGGAAGCGATGCGCATACGATAGCTAGGTTCATCTCGATTGCGGACCAGTAGGCTGTCGGTGCGCTATAATATGTGTTGTCGTCCGGGTGATCGACAAGCACGATGAGAGCGTGTAGGCGTAGAATCGATACGACGCAGACAAACCAACCGATGGTAAGGATGGCCATGAGCGCGACCCTTTGGCGCAAAGCGATTTGGAGAGTCCAAATGACACGAACGGGAAGGAAGGCCACGATGAGGTCGGTGAAGATGTTGATGCTGGCGTTCACATACCAAATCGTCTTGTTGTCGATACATTTCGCTCCGGGCTGCTCCAATATCTTCCAGTAGGCATGGACAGGGACACATGTGAAGATGGAAGTGAAGAGCGTAGTAACACCCCAAGCTACACAGATGGCCATGACGATGTGGAGTGGTATGCGCATTTCTCGCAGAGTAAAGATCCGGCCGTACTGTAGAAGGATGGATATCTTCGTGAACATGAGGCTGGTATTGTAGAAGATGATACTCCAGAACAGGTACTACTTGACGTTAGATCCGAAGCGCATATGGATAGCAGATGCTTACGATCAGAATCTTCTCAACTCCACCTGGAAACTCGATGAAGACTGCATGCTTGCCGTTGCCAGCGTCCGCCTCTGGACTGGGTTAACATTCGATTCGTCGCGAGCGCAGCGTGCGTCTTACGCATGACTTGGAGTACGCCAGTAGCAATAGCCAGCGCCATAGAGACGACAATGGCGTAGTCCTCCCATCCTAATGATCTTCCCAAGAATCGGAGCCGAGTGATGATACGCAGGGCGACACAAATCCCCGCTATGCATGTAAAAGCAACAACGATAGATTTGGTGAGCGGACCCCGATCTTCCTTGGCCAAGGCAGCCAACTGTTCCGGTGGAATTGGATCCATGGTAGTTATGAAGGGAAGGCAAAGACGATGGAACACACGTAACTTGTCAATGTGTGGGACAGGTGCGATGGGTTCACCATGGACCCTCCTTTAGATATGTATCCGCAGGCACCCGTCTGTGGAGGAGTACATATGCCAGGCCTTGCGCCCAAAGGTACCTGAACTACGAGTGCCGCACGGGCTAGTGCGCCAGTTTACACAAAACTGGGATGCCAGGTTGTTTAGGGAGGTATCCGAAACTCAAAATCCGACGATGGATCAGACCCTGGGGAGCGAGCGCAGGGGAGATCTGGGGAGACGGCATCCCTAACGGAAGAGCTAGACCTAGCGGACGGCAAGGACTTGAATCTAAGCCAATGAGACTATGCACTCCTGCCTAGACGCGTAAATGCTTCAAATTCGAGGGGTACATCTCCGAAGCGAACGGCTGCAGTGGCAGGCATAGTCCTGTACACTCTGCCTACCGAGAGTGATCAGACGGCATGCAACATACGGAATTCACTTGCATGATGCACAGCGTGTGTTTCCCATGGTTTGTGGCGATCCTTGTTGTCGATATGATGAACGTTGTCGAAACCAGGGATTAGGCCGTCGGTTTACCGGGTGAAGATCACGCAGATGCTCGACGAATGAGCTCCCACGTGGCGCGTCCTATATTGCGCAAGAAGATACCCTGGATGAACACACCACGCTCACTACTGAAGAAACGGTGGGCCAAGACCGTACGCATGCGGTTGTATCACAGCGATCAATCGACTCCTTGGCGTGCAGCCGTTCGTGAGCATATACCCATGAAGTCGTTCTGCTACGTTGTGAATTTGAAGCCTCGGGAAGCTGTAGCTCGAACGCATCTTTGGTTGAGCTTTTCGCATTGAGTACCGTCGATCGACCATGTGCATTGAATTTGCGTGTCTATGGCCGATACGGCCGTCACATGCTGTGGATTGCAGTATGAACACCGAGTAGGGTACCGCTTGAGCTTGATCGCGGCATATAGTGGTGCCACCAATTACCGGCTAATTCGTGTAGTGTACTCTGTCCGCAGTTTTAGTGCAGCGCTAGAGGAAATAATGGCGACTTATTGATGCCCAGAAGAATCCCTGCCAATCGGACGGCAAACTCTATTGTATCTGGCTGCCTTATAGCCTACCAACCTCCAGCTTGCGCTCTGGTCCGCCGTTCGAGAGAGGCCTTGCAAATAGTTGAACGGATGTATACCTACACATGTGGCATGACGCTGCTGATCCGGGTCGCCTCCGTTCATCGTCTGCCAAGGCTCCCGAGGTCTCACTGAACCTTCCCGTGAGGTAGAAGTCCGAGTAAACGACAAAGCCGCCACACTACGGGTTAGCATATCCGAGGTCGTCTCAACAAGCACAGAGGACTTTGCGGCTTGGGCTGCAGTATTGTGTGTCGCAAGCACCGCACGAAACCGTAAAAGGGATGTGGCTGAGGTTGCTGCGATTTCCCTCTAACATGCGATCAAACATTGAACACTGCGGAAGAATGAGGCAGTCTGAGATTCCAAACCACGCGACATTCGCGTTGAAGGAGTCTTCCCGGAGGATTATATGTGAGGTAAGGTCCGTTTCAAATTCGACTGATGCCTCAGGAACCGTGGCCAATGCAGAAGCTGTGCTGCTGCGAGCATAATGCGGGACGAAATGAGAATCCTGCTGCTGCACGCCTTTGACAGGGTCGGTTAGAAAGTTTGCGCTAAGTCAGTAATGCATCCTATCCAACTCTGTGAACACCAGCTCCTGGTGTAGGTTGCGAGCTCTATTGGGCAAGCATGGAACTTCGTAGTGATGCGTCATGATCTTGTTGCATAGAGTACATTGGATCGAGTCGGTGCCTGGAAGGGAGACGATCCGGGAACTTCGGGAGCATCTTGTGAAACGCGATCTTGCCCCAGCCGGAACGGAGCGTTCGTGCACGGTGTTCATCTTGACACACTAGACCCGTCCCAGACCGTAAAACTCGTATACTCGTTTCGTACGAGCTGAGCTGTCCGCGAACATGATGAGTTGGCGCATTAAACTGAATCTCTGCTCGCCGCGTAGATCTCTGAACTATCCCATAGATGCAGGATTGCTGCAAGTGTCTCCTGTTGTCACGTCGGCTAGGACGCCGTCGAGGGATCCTTCGCCTTCACCCCGCTGGAGCACACACACCCGGCATCGTCAGGTCACAAGCATCATAAAGTATGCATCATCAGGACTGTCATGAACCTAACACAAAGACGCGCACGCCGTTAGTCCGACATCTGGCAGCTTTGCGGCTGGGAATTCCCAGGTAAGCGAAATGGCGTCAGAAACCCTGCAGGAAGCTGATCTGACCGAAGCATAATCCTAACATAAGCTAGTGAGTCTTCTCGGCGGATCTGCGAAGTGCCTCTTATTGCGACGTGTGAATGCGCAAACATTTGACACCAGGTACGCGGCGCGTGACCCTGGATCACCTCTGAAAGCTTCAGGGCTATACCCCGCGGGAAATCGGGAACGATCAACGGCCCCTGATCTACAATCACTACCTCAAAAGCTTCGAACCGACATATCACATCGCATCAGCACACCATCTCAAGAATGTGTAGATGCTGTTGCAGTGCGCAGGAAGGTTGAGTCGCTGATGCTACCTGCCCATTGGCGCTCACGTCTTCAGTCATTTAGTGGCGATGCATACCAGTCACAATCCAATACACAACGACTACATCGCCTGCATGGCAACACAGAGCGGACCCCTGAAAGTCGAGATTCTTGTAGTAAGTGTTCGGTAATGCTTACTTGCGGATGTCAGGGCCTTCGCTGAGCATCTGGATATCATTCATCCTTCCCACGCCTCTGAGACCCCTATGACTGCAAGACCAATGGCTTCAGCCTTTTACTCGGCCTCCAAACTCTAGAAGCCGGTTACCCGGCTATCGCTATGCTGCATAGCTTTGCGCCTCCCTGCTGATCTGTCATAGAAACTAGAACAAAGAAGCAATCTATGCATAGCGCTTGTCGGACAAAACTCCGTGGCTATGGACGGAGATGATTAATCATTCGGCGACACTACTTGTCTGTATCGAGCATATACTTGGAGATTGAAGGCGAAGTTCAAACTCTCTGTTCACGATCAGCGTAAAGGTATACGATTAGTATACAGATAATGTGGTGGTGTAAAGGTTGCCACCAAAGTTCGTCCAGTGGCATCGCGATGACACAGACAATAAGCTACCGATCATACAATGATGTCAAATCTTCGCATATGGATGATGCAAGTCAGGTCGCCGAGATGCAGTCACCGCGAATAGCATATGATCCGCAGGACGTACCATTCAGCTGACTAAAGACATTCCACATCTAGACATCGAGTTACTTCAAGCCGAGGTTGCCTTGAACAGCTTGACATGTGTTCGCATTTTTGCGGGGAGGTAGCGATGCTAGTTACTTCCCAAGATTCAAGCTCCAAGCGCTGACATGAAGGCGCAACTGCAAAGTCTCTCTTGTAAGTCACAGACGTACCTCTTCGCACTTCGAGGTAAGATATTTTGGACTGAGAGAGAAAATCCATCCATGGTACAGAAAGCAGATGTTCTTCATGGTCTGAAGACTTGAAGGCAAAATACTGCCTAGGTACGAAACATAAAAGTCAAACCGACCCAAGAAAGCAGCCAGAATACGAATGTCGATGACTAGTAGACTAATCGCGTTGGTTGATCGGAGATATCATGTTGCTATTCAATTTTGCTAACAGAGCTATCGCACTGACACTACATCAGGGCACGAATGCAATGTCTGTTGCGATGCATCACATTGGTAACATTTAGACCCGAAGCGACATGTTGCTGTCCTTAATGCGTCTACATTGTAGAACCTCTAGGTAGGACAGAGGGCAGACTCAGATATACTAGCCAGAAACAACGAAACTAGCAGCGCACTCCAGTGCGAAGCCAAAACACCGAGCATACCAACCTTGCGCCCAATAACTCAGCTCCACGCAATGCGGAGCACCTCGAATCAGACTTCCCTCTACTCTAATACTGTTTGTGAAAGCTTTGACACAGTTATCAACCTCCTCTTGCGTAGCTTCGAAGAATGGATCATCCTCCACTAGCGAGTACATAACAGGCACTTTCACAGCTGGCGCCCATTTCTCCTTCCAAACAGGCATCCATTGCGTTACGAACCCCGCAATCTCCGGGATAGGGCATATCGCATTTAGACGTTCGGTTTGTTCCAACATTTCCGGCGCATAGGTACCGGGTTTGAACATGACAGCATCTTTCAGCTCTGTGGGACATAGCGCATGGTTATCGTCTACGCGAGGATACTGAGGAGGATTGTCTTTTGCTGATTGAGATTGTGTGTTTCCCATACCGCTTGCAATGATTCCTCCTAATGGGTAGTCTGGTGTCCTCTCGTCACCATGAAGCGCTGCCACGGCGATACCAGGCATAACACCGAGGCTATGGCACAGCAAAACGATGCAAGTGCATCCATGCGGAACACCAAACTCTTCCCAAAGTTTTGGGAGGATGAACCGATGTAGTTGAATGGCGCTCTCTGTTGTGAAATCAGACCCAGATGGGATTGGCAGTATTGAACTCGTGCCACCGTAGGAAGGACGGTCGATAGTTACGAAGGGAGTAGCAAGTGCGTTGCTCATCAAAGAAGCAGAGTATCCTGGTAGAGCATCGAAGTATTGATGATCATAACCACCCCCATGGAGAGCAACGATCAGTGGGCGGTATCTCACTGGCGAAGGCGATTGGGTTGGGATGGCGTGAGCGCCTTGCACTACGCCATTGTTCGCAAGGGTGAGGCGAAAGGATTGCATCGAGATGGTGAATGACGAGAAAGGAGAAGAATCGTGATGTACAAAAGCTCAGATCTAGAAATCCTCATACTGGTATGGCAGCATTTGGATACTATGTAAACGAAGCTTGTGGGTCAACTGCGGAGATATCGGATTTACATGGCTTAACCATTGCATCGATCATGTATCTTGTGGTCGGAGTTAATGCAGACGGCTGACACTTTGAACTAAAAGTGAAGAATATTCACCATGACCCATCACCCCACAGCACCTGCGGCTCTCGTTCATACGTCACAGCAATGATTCTTTCATCTGTCCCATTCATCTCCGACTACGGATGTTGGTTGGTAAACGGCTCTTGAGTTCAGCTATAAAGGTCAAAGTGTCGCACAAAAGTAGGCACCTCTTTTCAGCGCGAAATCGAGTCCTTCTTCAACCTCACTTATTGACTTTTCAAAGTTGACCGTCGTTACTGATTGGATAACTTGTGATTTAGCGCCTTGGCGCGAGTCCCTCGTTCCTTCTCCGTTGGGATCGCCCGCTTTCAGCTTCCACAATACTCTTTGACCTGCAGAGATCAGAATACCATTAAACTTGCTGCGCAACTGTCTATACCTACAATGAGATTGTGTGAATTCGCATCGCAAGCGGCAGAGCTTGTGGATACGCGAGCCGATGTCCGTTGTCTTCGCGTCGCGTCACACAAGAACATTGGCTACATCTCGAATCCACGGTAAAGAGGCTAAACTCAGGGCATATGCCAGATATGCCTTGAGAATCGATGGAAGTGTATAGCGAGGCAAGGCTGACTCTGTTGCTATGGCCGTACGGTAGTTGGCTGACATGATGGCTGAGACGCAATATCCGGTAAGCGTCCTCATGCTCACAGCCCCAGGTGCACAAACTCAGCCTTCCCACTGCTTGGTTATCTTTGCGGCATGCCCTCTGATGTCTCCGTTCTACTCACTCAACGTCTTTATCGTCGCCTAATCACACACAGCTATCGCTCTAAAAGCACACGATGGCAGATCCTCTCAGCATCGCAGGATCTGTGGTAGGCATCACTGCTGCCGGCGTACAAGCCTCTGTAAAGCTTTACGCACTCGCGGAAAAGGTTGCGACAGCCAGTCAAAGAGTTACAAGCATCGCGGATGATGTTAGCAGCACATGCGCAATTCTCAATCAAGTGCGCGAACTCATCATCCCGCAACCTGACGCGCAAGGCACTTTGAAATCGGTATTTAACTCTACCGCTCTGCACGACATCTCACATGGTCTTCAGCGCTGTCGATCGGCTTTCACGGAGATCGAAGCTCTCTTGCGTCGTGCATTTGAGCAGGTGGGAAAGCGCCCTGCCTTGCGTTCGAAGATACAACTGTCCCGCTTTGAGAAGGCCAAATGGCCTTTTTTGCAGCCGCAATTTGACGAACTACGCAACGATCTACGAGATGCGAAAGGAAATCTTATTCTTATGATCGCTGTGGCTAGTCTTGCCCTTGCACAAAGAGATGGGCGTCAGCGACCGATCCATGAAACGGAGAGACTGGAGCTCGGGTCAACCATTGTGCAGCTGCAACAAGCACGTATAAGTAATTCAAATGACCAAAACAGTCCCAAAAGGTCTCAGCAAGAGGGAATGAGATCGCGACAACTCTTTGGACAATCAATGACCGTCGGTCCCGCAAGAGACACAAGATCCGAGCAAACTTCAGTCGTATCTGTTGATCCCGATTCAGGGTTCAGAACTGTGAAATACATGAGAGCTACTCCACTCAGTCCACAAGAAGATACGATACCCACACCGCTTGTCAGTGAGAGGACCAGCGACCCATCTTCGGTTGACGCCAAAATTGGTGATGCAGACATGTCTCTGCCATCTGTTAGCAATGTCCAAATGCAAGAGCAATGGAATTCTGATATGTTCAACCCATCTATCGAAGAGGCAAACATCAATTCGGCTATCTTATCACATACTGCAGCTTCCACGGCATGCTTCGGACAACAGACACGCGACGTTTCGGGCATGCTCCAAGAACGCCATGCCCCTGGGCACAACACTCATCGAACTCCAGCACCTGCAATGTCAGCTTCAGATTGGAGTGCAGTAGATCTGGTCTATGAAGAACAGCCTGGAGCGATCGACTCTACAGCTATGCCGTCAGCCCAGCGCGCGAGCGAGAATACACTCTACTATTGCGGATGGATCACAAGACATCTCCAGGGACTCACAACTGGTTTTGGAGATTCCGTCTCGATCACACAGATGAATTTACCGGATCAATCGCTCGAAAAACTGGTCAAAAACTACGCCGACGCAGGTCTCGATCCTCACATAAGCTTACTGGACCTCACTGAACAACAGCAAGACATCATCAAGCAGGTGACAAAAAACAATCTTGGCGCAGAATTAGCATATGTCAGTATCTCGCGCGATATCAAGGTGTCCAGCGTGTTTGGTATGCTCGATATAAGTGGACTTAAGTGGATCGCTGCATCTAGAAAACCTTGGCCGAAGCGTGAACCAGTCTGTCCGCAGTACTTTCCCCCTCCATTTACTAGACCCCCGCCATCGCTTCCTGGGAAGCCATTCCTATACCCTTCTTCCACAAAGACTACTGAGTCTGCTCTTCCACCACAGCGTGCGCAATCTTATCGAAGAGACCTTTATGGACCTCCACCTCCTCGGCCTTATGGCTACATGTCGTCTTCCGCTAACTCCAGGCCTTTTCCGCCAGCGCCACCTTCCGAAGAACAGCGTACAGACAGTCGCGCGAAAGAAAGGGCAGAAAAGCACCTAGCTGAGAAGGAAAAGGACCGAGCAGTAGCTAGAGAGGAGTCTCGCCGTCTTAAAGATGAAGAACGAGGTCTTAAGGAAGAAGAGCAGAAAGATCTTGAGAAGGAGCGGTCGAAGCCTCCAACGACTGACTACTTAACCAAACCACCATCTGCAGCACGCAGAATGTCCTCAACTATAACGCCAGCTCAGCTAGCAGACCAGCAACGCCTGATCGAATTCGAGAAGGCACAGATGCGTAGCGAGAAGCAGATTGCATCGCATCTCTCTGAGACAAATACAGGATATGAGCAATCCTTACAATACCCAGGATGGTACGCTCAGCAATATCAACCGCCCGCAGAAGAGAACGGAGAAGATATTGTGAATGAGCTCCTTGCTCGATGGACGACTCTGGAAAGACCTGACTATAGGCTAAAGGACGACAAACACAGGAGGTATAGTCGTCGATATTAAGCGCTGAATACAGACATATAGTCTAGTAGGATATTCTCTTTCCAGACTCCTACACCGGAGAATTCTGTCTTCTCTGTTGACATGCAAGAAATTCTGAATTGATCATATGATGATGATGATGATCCAAACAGCAAAGATAGCCTACTACTTGACTTTTCTAGCCCGAGTGCAGATGTCCCTGGTAGTGAGTTGTTACACGGGGTTAGGCTATACTTCTCTAGGCTCGGTCCGTACTAAGGCGAGGTAGACTAAAGCGGTAGTCCGTGAGGTATCGTATGGAATGATCAGGTGGAAAAGAGTTATCGTTGTAACCA